CAAATTTAAAGAAGTGAAAGTGAGAGACAAATCTACAAGAGTGTTTAAAAGTAGATCCCTAATTGCAGAAACTGAGAGGCTACTTCTCATCTGGATTAGGGAAAAACAGATAAAAGGTGATTCAGTTTCTACTGAATTCATTTGTGAAAGAGCCAGGGAGATTTACAAACATTTAAAGACAGATCAACCTGGTTCTTCAGGCACAGAATTTGAAGATTTTCGAGCCAGCAAAGGCTGGTTCAAAAAATTTAAGAAAAGAAGTGACATTTTCAGTGTTGTTAGGCATGGTGAAGCTGTTAGTGCTGATAAGGAAGGGGCAGCAAAGTTTTTAGTTGAATTTAAAGAACTGATGGAAGAAGAAAATTATCTTCCACAGCAAGTGTTCAATGTGGACGAAACTGGGCTGTTCTGGAAAAAGATGCCCAAAAGAACATTCATCACCAGAGATGAAGCTTCTTTACCTGGGCATAAACCCATGAAAGACTGTCTCACTCTATTGCTTGGTGCCAATGCTTCAGGGGATTTCCGACTGAAGCCTATGCTTGTCTACCACTCTGAAAACCCCAGGGTGTTCAAGCAACAGAAAGTGGTAAGAACAAAGCTTGGAGTTTATTGGAAGTCCAACCGTAAGGCATGGGTGACAAGACAGCTCTTTAATGAATGGGCTGTTGATGTGTTTTGCCCTTCTGTCAAGAGCTACCTAACCACCAATAAACTCCCTTTAAAGGCTCTTCTCTTCATGGATAATGCTCCTGGTCATGACCCTGACCTTGCCAAAAATTTGGAGTATCAATTTGATTTTGTGAAAGTGTTGTGTTTGCCTCCAAACACTACATCAATCATACAGCCAATGGACCAGAATGTGATCAGCAACTTCAAGAAGTTGTACATGAAGAAAATGTTTAGGAGGTGTCATCAGGCAACTTCCAATGATCCTGAACTAACACTGAAACAGTTCTGGAAGACACAATTCAACATCCTGGAGGCTGTAAAATTGATTGTGTCATCATGGCAAGAAGTCTCCAATAGGTCCCTCAATTCTTCATGGAAAGCACTGTGGCCATCAGTAGTCCATGATTTTGAGGGATTTGAGGAAGAAACAGAGCTGGACCAGGAGATTGTGTCCATTGGTCAGTCATTGGGCCTTGAAGTGGAGGAGGAGGATGTGGAAGAGCTTGTGATGTCTCATGAGGAGGAACTTACTCCTGATGACTTGAAGCAACTGGATGAGATGTTACAGGTAGAGGCTGACAGTGGTGAGGAGGAAATTGAAAGTGATGACCATATGTCAGCTAAACAGTTGAAAGATGTGATTTACTACTGGGAGAAGTTCAGGGAACTGGCTTCAAAGCACCCAGATGTGGAAAAACTGAACTAACTTTGTGTCATGTTGAGGACTCCGTGGTCTCCTTCTTTAAACATAAGTTAATGGTGAGGAGGAGAGATGCCCCACAGACCACAATTGACACTTTCTTCAGTAAAAGGCAGAGGGAACAAGATGCTATCCCTCAGCCTTCCACTTCAAGAAGGAGAGAGGATGTTCATGGTGGAGAATCTGTCAGTCCAGAAGTTGCTGACATTTTCATGGAAGGTGACTCACCTTCCAAGAAGCAGTAAATGCTTCTCCTCCACCTCCACTTCCTTCTCTTCTCCCTTCTCCTCCTCCCACTTCAAATTCACATCATCATCATCATCATCCAGGAGCCTTCTACATACACACCTCAAAGTAAGTGAACTTTTCTACCTTTTTTGTTGAATTTAGGCAATTTTCAGTGAGCTGGAACCAATTACCCAAAAACCCATTGAAACAATGGTTTCGGTTAACGTGATTTTCGGTTAACGAGCAACCTGCTGGAACGGATTGTGCTCGTTAACCGAGGGACCACTGTAGCCGATATACAACTCATGACCATCAGTGGTTCAGTAATTATGGGTGGTGTTTGTAGACAGTTTTGTATGCGGATTACTTTCAGTTCTATTAATTTTCATGTGTAAATGCTTAGTTTTACAGATATAACCAAGTTAAGATCTGTTAAGTTTTATATTTTTTCCCAACACTCAATACAGTATCTTCTAATAAAATCAGTGAAAATTGGGTACAGGTATTTTTAAACCCTTGTTCAATGAAAAGCAGCGGACCTCCACAATCCAAATAATTACTGTATATTTACTGTACCCTGTATTGGTAATTTTTAAGTTTTTCCAAATATGCTGTACGGTATTTTTGTAAATTTGTACAGTAGTTTATGAAATTTATGTCAATTATGAAGTTTGTGACATGATTTAAGACAGTATCTTGTTATTAATCATTTATATCTAACTTCTTTACAACCCTACAAGTTGGTCAGTGGAAATATGATAAACAGTAATCTTGTATTTATGGTCTAATATTACGACCACCGTTGAGGAGACAGATCCTTCTCAAATATCAAATACTGTACAGTACAGTACTGCTATATTACATTAAAAACTTTAGCATTCATAAAATTAGCTAAACTAACCTACCTAAATTAAGCTTCACCTAAATATTATATAATCATTTAGGTTAGGTTAGGTTAGTTCCTTTTATGATTGCTAAACTTTACAATGTAGCAGTAGCATTTGATACTTCAGAGGGATCCCAGTCTCACTAAATGTTATCAACGGCATGCATGAATTTATGCTTAAATACAACTGTAACAAAATAATAAAATAAAACCAGCAATTAACAGTTAGGTGAGATTAGGAGTGATATGTTAGGTTAGGATCGGTCCGACTAATTACCCAAATGTACCCAAATGTAGCCGCAATGAAGTCAAATAATGGTCCTACATGAATAAATCGGACTGCTAATCACTTCTCGACTAGTATTTGGTGTCACAAAGTAAAAAAAAATTGGAAAACTTACTTTAATCTGAGTTAATAGATCGCGTGCATGTACCGAGGGAGTGAGTAATTACACAGATGTACCCAAATGTAGTCGCAATGAAGTCAAATGATGGTCCTACAAGCGTAAATCGGGCTGTGAATCACTTCTCGATTATTATTTGGTGTCATAAAGTCACAAAAAATTGGTAAACTTAATTTAATCTGAGTTGTGTTGTGTTGTGTTAGGTTAGGTACATCTACTCGATCTATTAACTCAGATTAAATTAAGTTTACCAATTTTTTGTGACTGTGACACCAAATACTAGTCGAGGTTAGGTTAGGTTAGGTACATGCACTCGATCTATTAACTCAGATTAAATTAAGTTTACCAATTTTTTGTGACTTCGTGACACCAAATACCAGTCGAGAAGTGATTGACAGTCCGATTTATTCTTGTAGGACCATCATTTGACTTCATTGCGGCTACATTTGGGTAATTACTCGCTCCCTCGGTACATGCACGCGATCTATTAACTCAGATTAAATTAGTTTTCCATTTTTTTTTACTTTGACACCAAACACTAGTCGAGAAGTGATTGACAGTCCGATTTATTCATGTAGGACCACTATTTGACTTCATTGCGGCTACATTTGGGTACATTCGGGTAATTAGTCGGACCCGGTTAGGATTGATGTGTTAGGACTGAAATGTTAGATTAGGTTAGGACTGATGTGTTAGACCGTGAAGAGCTGCAGAAGGATCCCTGTGAGCTTCAAAAATGGTTGAAGAAATGGCTGCTAAGATTCATTTTCACGAAGTGTAAGAGGCTGCACCTGGGACGTAGGACGAAGAAACTGCATTAATTGAGACGATGTGAAAAGGACCTCGGTGTGTATGTTGACAATGAACTGAAGTTCTCATGCCATTGTGAGAAGAAGATGAATCACGCAATTAAATTATTGGGTCTTATAAGGTCTTTCAGATATCTTAAGACAGTCCGTCCCTCGTAACGATTTTTAAGAGTGAGGTGCTTCCCCGTCTGGAGTAGTCACCCCGTCTTATCACTGAGATATGCTAGGGACTGTCAGTTGGTTGAAAATGTCCTAAGGAGGGCCACCAGGCTGGTGCCTGCACTATGGCACCTCAGCTAACCTTAGAGATTAGAATGCCAGCAATTACCTAGCTTATACTAAAGACGGGCAAGGGGGGACTTAACTGAGGTGTATAAACATCTCAAAGGGCACTACTCGGTCGAGTGTCCTTACCTGGAGCTGGCGGACGCTCGCCCCACAAGGGTCACAGCTCAAGGCTGAAGAAACCGCAGGTCCACAAAACTGTAAGGGGTAACTTTTTCTGAGTGAGAATCGCGAACTCTTGGAACATTCTGCCAGAGTGTTGTGACGACACCGAGTGTGAGCTCTTTCAAGACCAGACTTGATCAACACTGGAGCAGGTTCAGATATATTCAGAAGCCAATGCATGCCCAGTACTTGCCAACAGTGTGTAACAGAGACTTGACCAATAGCCCCAGCAGCCAACGAGCCGGTCAGTGGTGAAGAGGATAATTAGGTTAAGCCGGATGTGTTAGGACAGGACTGATGTGTTAGGTTCAAAGTGAGATGTACCCCCGTTTCTGTAGTACATGTACAAAGTGTACCCTCGTCTCTGTAGCACAAGTAATAAGTGTACCCTCGTCTCTGTAGCACAAGTAATAAGTGTACCCTCGTCTCTGTACATGTAATAAGTGTACCCTCGTCTCTGTAGCACAAGTAATAAGTGTACCCTCGTCTCTGTAGCACAAGTAATAAGTGTACCCTCGTCTCTGTAGCACAATTAATAAGTGTACCCTCGTCTCTGTACATGTAATAAGTGTACCCCAGTCTCTGTAGTACATATAATAAGTGTACCCTCGTCTCTGTTCAAGCTTAATTTCTCTCGGTAACAGAAAAATAAATAAAGTGTTATTAGGTAATCTGTTTTCACTTTAGATTAAGAGACAAAACATCAGCTGACAGACTAGCTATTAATATCCTGGTCACCTCTATATTACTCTCCCCACTACTGACATCACACTACAAGTATAAAAAAACATTATCTAGTTAATACACAACAATAATACCAATATTCAAGAGGGATATGGTGATTAATATACCTTGTAGAGTTAGGTAAAGATGACGAGCACTAAACAGGTTCCAGGCTCACTTGAACTGTATCTCGCTCTCTGGCTACTAGTGGAGGGTGACTGGGATTTCTTTCCTAGGATAGAAGAGAGACAGTGCTTCACATTGTTAATTTACTTCTAAATTGTCTTTCCATTAATAAAAACAATATTTTAATTACTATAAAAATTATTTTACTCATATTTTTTTTATATTACGAGTGTTAATGAATATGGCTTGTTTTTTTCGCCATATGAGAGGAATTAATGGATACTCTGTTTTATGTAATTTTAGCGAGTTTATCCAATTCCGAGCACTATTTTGGTCGATTTTTATGAGATTAAAATAATTTAATGACATTTTTAAAGATATTTTGTTTAATATAGGAGTTTCTGAACTGATGCCGACAATTTGATGGCTGCATGTCTTTGCTTCTACTGGGGAAAACAGTATTGATAGACCTTCAGCCTCAAATAAAAAACTATGTTATTACCGTGTATAGCACGAGTTCTTAAGACCAAATTTTTTGGCAAAAAGTTGGGGGTCGACCTCTATACGGGTAATAGTTTCGTTAGGTTGAAAAATATTTATCAGTAACTACCAGTAAACAATGGAACCGACGCACCACCCGCTGTGAGTGTCGGTACAGTTGCCAGGGCAGATGTAAAACATAAGGTATTCATTTTTAAAAGTTTATTTATGGATACATAAATTTTTTTTAATTAAATTTGAAACATCAATCTTTGTTAATTAAATTTGAAACAAAAGAAAAATACGATACCTTATTTATAAATATTTTCATTAAAATATTACATCACAAGTATATTTTACCTTAACTGTGCCTGAATGAATATATTCTCAGAAATAAATATGGAAATGTAATATTTTGCTGAAATGACGTACGTATTACAGTGGAAAGTGGGATAAAATTGTGACGAAAACAATGACTCACTTCCTTTCGTCGTTCAAAAGATTTTGCCGTAATCGCTTTTCGAAAGGTTTTCAGTTAAAAACTGTTGTATTACAATAATATTCTATCCTAATTGACTTGAATAAATACTACGATACCATATTTCTGAATATTTTCATTAAAATCCATCAAAATCATTTTCCTTGTCATCATCTGCAGCACCAAACAGCTCCTCCCAGTCCTCTCCTTGAACAGCATCGTCATATGGATCAACACCATCATCAGCCATACTTTTACTTTTTTTTACTTTTATCCTCTTCGCCACTGATCGGCTTGTTAGCCGCTTGGGCAATCGGTCACGTCTCTTTTCCTTTATATTCTTCACCAAAAGGTCGGCTCGCTAGCCGCCCGGGCGATCGGTCACGTCTCTGTCACGCACTGTTGGCAAATACTGGGCATGCACCGGCTCCTGAATGTACCTGAACCCGCTCCAGTGTTGGTCAAGTCTTCTCTTGAAAGAGCTCACACTCGGTGCCGTCACAACACTCTCTGGTAGATTGTTCCAAGAGTTTACAACCCTCACTCCGAAAAAGTTTGCCCTCACGGTTTTCTGGACTTGCGGCTTCTTCAATCTTGAGCTGTGACCCCTTGTGGGGCGAGCGTCCGCCAGCTCCAAGTAAGGACACTCAACTGAGTAGTGCCCCCTGAGATGATTATACACCTCAACTAGGTCCCCCCTTGCCCGTCTGTAGTATAAGCTAGGCAAGTTCAGGCGCTCCAATCTCTCAGGGTAGCTGAGGTGCCGAAGTGCAGGCACCAGTCTGGTGGCCCTCCTTTGAACATTTTCAACCAACTGACAGTCCCTAGCATATCTCGGGGACCAGGAGTGTACAAAGTCAGGCATGTCATTTATGAAACAAACAAACAACAGCGGGCCCAATACATTGCCCTGTGGTACCCCACTTGTTACAGGTACAGATGACGATTTCGTGCCATTAATCACCACACACTGCTTGCGGTCATGTAGAAAGTCTTCTATCCACGCTAGGACATTTCCCCGAATTCCGTACCCTTCCAGTTTGATTTTCAGCCTTTCGTGGGGTACACTGTCGAAAGCCTTGGCAAAATCAAGGTAAATATTGTCGATATTACCACCCCGTTCCAGAATATGGGTCCAAATATCCAATACCTTGAGCAATTGTGTTAAGCAAGAGCGCCCCGGCATAAAACCGTGTTGGCAATCTTTTACAAGGTTGTTTCGTAGTAGATGTTCCATCGCGGCATCTCTGATAATACTCTCAAGTACTTTACATATTATGCTGGTCAGGCTCACCGGTCTATAGTTGTTCGTGGAGTGACTATCGCCCTTCTTGAAGATAGGACTCACATAAGCCACTTTCCATTCACTGGGGACCAATTGTTCATCCAGGCATTTACAAAACAGGAGCTTCAGGGGCTCTGCAAGCTCGTTGCACAGCTGTCTTAGCACTCTAGGATGCACCATGTCAGGTCCGGGACTCTTATGGACCTTTAGCCTGGACAGTTTATTTCTAATACCCTCTTCTGTGAACACAATGTGGGTCAGTGCTGTGTCGAACCGTCTGTCCTCAAACGCAGGAAGGTTAGTTGCATCCTCTCTTGTGAACACTGAGGAAAAGAAGCTCTTCAATGCCTCAGCTTTATCCTGGTCAGAATCTGCATAACTACCATCTTCAAGCTTCAGGTCTGATACTCCTACTCGCGTTTTCAATTTCGACTTTGCATAGCGGTAAAACGCCTTTGGGTTTGACTTGACCTCGCGTGCAACCAGCCTCTGGAACTCCTTTCAGCCCTCCTACACTCTCTCTTTGCTTGGTTTCTGGCTCTTGCATACATCCTCCTGTCTTGCTCATCGTTTGACCCAACCCACGTCTTGAATTTCTGGGTTTTCTTCTTAATTTTGTCGACCGCCGCATGGTTCATGTGTAGTGATCCCCTCGTATTCTTAGAAGCACTGGGTTTGGTCTTGGGTATATATTTATCGATCAAATGGGTCATTTTGCTAGTTATGATATTCAGCGTAGTGTCTGCGTTCTTGTACCTTAATAAGTCAGGCCAGTTGATACCGCTCATCTCTTCCCTCATCCCATTGTAATTTCCCTTGTAATATTTGCACCTTGGCCTGGCCTTATCTTGAACTAGGTAACAGTTAAATCTGAATGACAACACTGTATGGTGACTGGTGCCAACTGGGGCAAGGTGTTCCAGTTTGGCCACCATACCCTCCCCGTTTGTTATGATGAGGTCAAGTGGCTTGGGTGTTTGCTCCCCTCTGTAATGTGTCGGGTCTCTCACATGTTGGAACAGAAAATTATCTCTCAGAGTTTCTACAAAAAGAGTAGCAGGGTTATTCAAGTCATTCGGGGTGGACTCGTTTCTCCAGTCGATGTCGCCATAGTTAAAGTCCCCCATGATAAGGAGGTGGCTAGGGTTGAGCATCGCCGCATTGTTTATTAAGGTTCTTAAGTTCCTTTGATTTAGTGGGCCACAGTTTGGGGATCTGTAGATACACCCGACGATAAGTAAGTCCCCTCCCTTTAATTTAATTTTACTTATCTGGAATTCCAAGTGGGTACTTTTACTTCTCACATATTACTGGTGGTACATTACATTGCATACAGTTACCCAGATCAACTCTTTGGCTTTTACTAAAACTTGTTGTTAGTACATATGGAGGATGCACTCACAATACAACACTTGAATACTGATACTAACAAGTTACAGGGACTCAACTGCAATCCCACATGGATACTTTTACTTCTCACACATTACTGGAGATACATTACATTACATTACATACATGACAAACTTACATATGGTCCTTCACTATAACTGTTGGTAGTGAATATTGAGGATGCACTCACAACACAACACGTTATTACTGATACCAACACCTGTACATGGGTTCACTACCCAACATGGGATAATTATATTCCAGATAATTATCCACAAACCATGTACAACAAACACTATGGACCATATAACTTCAAGGCATGTCCCAGAGTAGAACACTCAACAACTGACGACTGCTGTTGGTCGGTTGTAGTAGGACACGTGGTGACAGTCTGGGGTCCAGCCCCATGAGGCAGACTTGCAGTTTTAATCATGTCGAATCAGCGACATCGGCCACTACAGCTAACTGTTAGGTATCCACCGACTCCGGGCAGCCGGTGGGGTGTTCAAATAACCCACACACTGGATCTGAGAACAATTGTAGACACGTCAGAGGGAGGACATGGTGATGACTCAATCACAAACAATCTTTCGTCTAGCAACGTCAGACGACATTTACTTTATATTAATTCTCACACTGGGTGAATGACAATTTCACTGTTACAACATGAACACTGATACTCACAAAATTGACTAAGTTAAACTGAATGGCTATATCGCGGGGAACACCTGTCAACATACCTGAGAGCAAATTTGTAGACGTCAAGAAGGAGGGATGTTCCTCCTCATGCTCAGGGTTTATATACCCGTGAGTTGCCAGACGTGGCTACTCACGCAATGACAAAAATTACATACAAGTCAATTGTTACACATCCAAAGATGACCCTCAGTGGACACGGGTCTGGTGAATTACTTAAGTTGATTTACATAAACTAATTAGAGATTGAGCTTGCCAGTAGAAAGTGGAATAAACGTATTGACAACTGTCTTCACATGGGCGGGACTTAGATAGGGAGCCTTGGTGTAAAACGTTGAGAGGGAAAAATGCCTTTCTTCCTAAGGGTACCTAACCAGTTACCCATTCATGTTTTGCAGGCGTGAAGTATAATAAGAATCATCAAGTTCTAAAACAAATCAGCAGTCAATGTGACCATGACAGTATGTCCCAGGTCCAGTCTCTTACACTTCGTGACATTGAATCTTAGCAGCCATTTCTTTGACTATTCTTGAAGCTCACAGAGATCCTTCTGCAGCTCTTCACAGTCTGCACTGTTGGCAAGTACTGGGCATGCACCGGTTCCTGAATATATCTGAACCTGCTCCAGTGTAGGTCAAGTCTGGTCTTGAAAGCACTCACACTCAGTTCCGTCACAACACTCTCTGGCAGATTGTTCCAAGAGTTCACAACTCCCACTCCGAAAAAGTTACCCCTCACAGTTTTCGGGACTTGTGGCTTCTTCAAC